TAAGGCGCGTTCTTCTATCGGTTAATCTGCTCACCTGCTCGGCCTCCTTTGATGTGGCACTCGGGGGCAGATGGAGGTGATGACAGTCATGGGCACAGCCAGACAAAGGCCTTGTTCACTGTTCAGGGGGGGCGGCCGAAACCCTTCACGCCTACTGTTCCGCTGACTTGCAGGGGGAGGGAGAAAAGCGGACTTGTGCTTTGGCCCTCTTCTCTACTCTCTTTTCTCTAGATGGTTGCGTTGGGATTGCGTCTCTTGGATTGCGCACAGTGAAGCCACAGTTGGCACGTCACGATACAATAAAGAGACTAGGTATCTAGCCTTGGGCTACTTCTATACTCTGGAGGATAGTGCGCGAGGGTGGGGGGGCTGCTTTCACAAATGGTGTTCTCGACAAGGCGACGTTTTTTCCTGCAGCCTTTGTGGAAAGCCGAATGCTCAATTGTTGGTCTATTTTTAGAAAATGACGCAGCCATTGAATTAGGACGGTTTCTTGGGTTCGCCCCTCGGGCCGGATGTTATTGGGGGGTCTAAAAAGTGCTGAGTTGCGTGAAACTAGGGGAGTTGAGGCCAGGGGTGATTGCTACCAGGAGACAAGGAAGAAACATTTTCACATTGTTTAGCCCTGTCCCCTCAACTGCTGGCCCCCCCTTTGCTGCGAGGTCTGCCCGGGAGATGGAATGGTGCTTCAATGTAAAGCCAGACCTCTTGTTTTCAATGACAAAACCAACACACCAGCAGATTACACTGGTATGTAAATTGTAAGTGCACTATGGGCGTATCGTTTTGTGAATACCAAGCAGCTACACAGGTTTGTGCAACCTACCACACCAGTACACACACACCTGGTCTACGTGGATTCCATAACTATCACAAGGCCAAATACGTGCTACAGATACAGTGAGTTTTCTTCTCTACTCTACCACCACTATGTAAATTGACGATGGTCCTTTTATGCCTGTAGTCTCTGGGAATCTGATATGATACATGTTTTGAACGGGGATTCCTGTCGGTTTATATTTCACTGCTTCTAATTTCATTCATTTGTATTTCTTTCTTTCTTTTTCATTTGGGAGGTAGCCTTAAGTGATTTGTAATTGCCAACAAAGCTTGTCTTAGTTGTTGTTTTCTTGTGCTGTATGGATAATTGTGCAATAGCCATAGGAAATAGCCAATAGCAAAGCATTTGGATATTTGACACCAGTCTGCATTTACTATTTCCAATGTCGCTCCTTTTCCTAAATGTAAAGGCAAGGCACGGGAGTGCTATAGCATACCAATACATACATACAATAGCATAAGCCCATCCGCGAGTACTATACATACATCAACGTGACCTAGCCTACATACATGGCCACTTTCAAGCACACGGCAAGTTCACAGCTGCCTTTACACTAAATAAAAGTATAATTTTGAGAAGAGATACGCAGAAACACATTGGATAAATGGCATTTAAAAGCGGGCAGTTAAAAGCAGCAAAGATAAAATTAAACCCAAAGGTATATAGCGAGTACGATGCACTACAAGCCTACTGCAGGTGGTAATATGAAAAGTAATTCCTGGTCTAATTTGAGTCTTTTGTCAATGTTTTCTCCCCCCCAGCCCTTTCCTCGAGCAAACAAGTGTGCCACGACGTCTTCAGGCTGCGTTGCCCTTACTGGTGCTCTCACATTGTCCCTTTTTCATGGCGAGCCTTCCGCGCTTCCTTGTAGCTCTGTAACTCCTGTCCGCAACATGCTGCCGTCCACCTTCGAGACAAGTCATAAGACGGTATCACACTCTTTCCTTTGAAAGTAAACTCTGCTATGTGTTTCAGATCTTCATTGGTATCCAATTATGGCCCCCTGGAGACACTAGTAGCATCAAAGCACGCCCAACCTAACAACTACGTTTTTTATAATCAAACTCAGCTTGGAGCTGTCATTGTCATGTTTTGCGAGGATTTGTTTGCATATGGCGAGTCCATTGAGTAACACGCTTGACATTTTGAATGATTAAAAACGAAATTTTCCCGCTCCTTCGTGTTGCAATCTGAACCTTGTCACCCATGCAGGATGCTGATGATGCGGTATCTGGCTGTTTTGTGTTTCCATCATCCCAACAGATGGTTAATCCCTAAATTACAGTCTGATTCCACGCACAGGTTCCATCACCTCTACTTTGCGGTTAGTATGTTCACATTTGGCAGCATGCTTAGCATAACGCCGAACTGTACATCTTCCTGGTTTCCACTGTTTTTAACAAAATTCATAAGATACTAATATGATTTGTCCTATTTCTTTTGTTTCTCAACCAAATGCCACAACGTATTGGAGCACACTTCTTTTTTTTCCCCTGGTGATTTTGTTGTTAAATGGGGTTGCATAAATGGAGGCAAGTTTCTTCTTGACACGAGATTTACCTCCCGTATAAATTTAAACAACCGCCAATACTTGCAAGAGACCTTTATAACTGACAAGGAGGCTTGAAAGTATTTCTTTCATTCTATGGCACTCTATCATATAACATTTTGGCAACACCATGTCTCAACAAAATGTGTTTACATTATTAGTTTTTGAAGAGATGGGGTGATTTTGATAGCACACATTGCATTTGTTTTTCAGCGCGAGGAGAGGTAAAAGACGGAGCTGAGGGGTCAAACTGGATATTTGCCAATTCTGCAGGACCCCATCGGAGGAGATCGCTCTGAGAAACAAAGCGGACCAGGCAACGTGACGAGAGTTTTCTTCCACATTCTTCCAGACGGTTGGTGTCGGGTTGTTGTACTGAGGCAGAACCATTAGTCAAGGCAGACTCAGTACCGGCCCTTCTGGTGGGGTTCAGAATTCAGAACCTTTATTAGTCCCACGAGGAGGGGGGATGTACGTTGTTACAGCAGAAAGAGCCAACGACGCTTAATGTACATAATGTTACAGGCAGAAAAATAGTTAAGGTAAAAAAAAGTTATAATTCGTAAAAACTAATAAAATTAAAAAGATTTACCCAATTTACAAAATACACATGGACTTTAACAGGAAACAATGGACGCGTTCACACCAAGTACTTTTTCCCACAAACGGGTTCCTGAGACTTATGATTTAGTGCGTTCCACCAAAAGCTTTCCCAGAATTAAATTAGTTCTAGGGAGAACTTTTTTACCCCTTTTCAGTTCCTGCTAAGAGAGCAGGTATTTTCGTGGGAGAAAAGCGTTCCGTTGTCTGTTGGCTGGCGGAATACAACACGCCCGTCAACTCCAAAAAGTTGTGAGCCCATTTTATTATCCTGGCATTGCACTTTTAGCATGTAGCATTTAGCCCAGCGCAAACGCAGAGAACTAAGGAGCAAACCACAAATAAAACAGGAGCCTGGGTGGTGGGCGACGGGAGGGTGTCGGCGTTTCTGGCCGTTCACTCTGAAGCCGCGCCCTAACTCCGGGGATTTTGGGCGGGCCAAGTATTACGAAATGAAAGTTGGTTTGCGCCTGCCAGTTTCAACCCAAGCAGGAAGAAAGAAGAGTGACGTCAGCGCTTCCATTTACCTAATCCAACCCCCAGGACTAATTCCGGTGTGAACGCAGATTGTAACTTAGTTCATGAGAACTAAAGAGTTCTCAGGAACCTTTGTGGGAAAAGTACTTGGTGTGAACGCGCCTAATAGGAGTTTTCCATGTATGTGTGTTGCACTCTAGTAAGTAAAACATTTAAAATAAGGTTATTATTGCAGTTATCTTTCTAGTTTCTAGTCTTTATGCTACACAATTATAGGTGAAGCTTCGATAACATAGGAGCAGTTAATATCTGTTGTATTCTCACTTCATGATTTCTTTTTTAAAAACGGCTATAAATTGGCCGGAAAAATCTGACCTGCCTTAGCGCTCAGATTTCTCTCGTCCAGAACTAATATACTTCACTATATAACTTTATAAACGTTATCATGTCTGTAGATACGGAACTCCGGGGAGCGACCCAGTAATGAGCAGATCATCAAATTCTCCAAACTGTTCGAGGACGAGCTGACTCTGGACAACCTGACCCGGCCTCAGCTGGTGGCTCTCTGCCGGCTCCTGGAGCTCCAGTCCATCGGGACCAACAACTTCCTGCGCTTCCAGCTCATCATGAAGCTCAGGGCCATCCGTGCCGATGACAAGGTATGAAACTCAAAATCAAATTGTTTCCACTTTTTACGTTCAAACTTTTAAAGGTAGGGTATGTAAGTTTGAGAAAACCGGCTCGAGATCGCTAGAATTTGAGAATACGGAGAAAATCTGCCACTTCCTTACAGAGCCCCTCCTCCAACACACACGAACGCGCACATGACCAATGAGGGCACGAGATAAGTTTGTGCACAGATGGAAGGCTGACAGGCAGGTAGGCCATCCAGTTATTTTAGCCGGTGCTTTTTACAGCGCTACGGCTTCCACAGATGACATTTTTTTATGGATTTTTTGTCAAAGCACTTCAGATATTCATTGCTATCGGGATGTCAAGAGCATTCCATGGAATATAACAAAAAGTATATCTTGAGCCGGTTTCTCAAACTTACATACCCTACCTTTAAACTCTATTAAAAGGGAAATCAGAAATTGGTCAGAAATCAGAAATTGGTCAGATGTTATAGGTAGAGCACTTCTGTAGTTACATATTTTAAGAAGACATTTGATGATTTTAATGTCTGTGTGATCTGTGTTTCTCCAGCTGATAGCAGAAGAAGGGGTGGAGAGTCTGAACGTGAACGAGGTGCAGACAGCCTGTCGCGTCAGAGGGATGAGATCTCTGGGAGTCACAGAGGAACGACTGAGAGAGCAACTCGTCCAGGTAACATCTCCAAAAAGAGATAAAGGAGATTTGATATGCAGGGGGACATATGAAACCTTATTCTATTCTCTGCTCATCTACTTCTATTCATTCCCTCACAGATTCTTTTTAGACTCAAACAATATGAGTTTAAGTATCTGTTAAATGGTCTCACTGTTCTCACTCACTGTTACATGTGGCTCCTGTAGTGGTTGGAGCTGCATCTGAAGCAGCAGATCCCCACCTCCCTGCTGCTGCTGTCCCGAGCCATGTTCCTCCCCGACACCCTGTCCCCCGCCGACCAGCTGAAGACCACCCTGCAGACGCTGCCCGAAGTGGTGGTACGTTCATATGCTTAGTCTGGTTTGCCATAGCAAAATCAACTTTCTGGAAAAGGGCATTGATACTGTTCATATTATATACTGAGAATAATTGGCTTGCAAAATCAGTCGGCAGTAAAAAAGCTGTTATATATAATATTCTCAGCTGCACCAAAGGCATCTTAGGTTTAGCTTGTGGTTTAAGAAATATATACAAAAATAAATCTTTGTAATTGAAAGAATAACCTTCTCTATGAGACTTCAGGAACTTACATCTGAGGAAAAATGGAAAACGTAGATTACCCTGATACGCCCTTCTTTTGTTTAACTGTTTGAATATATTATTTAATGATCTATCTATACTGTCAATGTTTTATATTGTAAAGAAAACACCCCAGGTTCTTGTGTGCTTATTGTTTTTGTTTTGTTAAGACAAAGAATAAAGACGGACCACTATGTAACTACATATGTAGACTGAAGTTGAAATGCGATCCAAAACAAAAATACAAATGTTAAAAAATGTATTAAATATATATAAAAAAAATGTATCTTTTCACTCAACTCTATCGTACGCTGTCCTCTCCAGACTAAGGAGGCCCAGTCGATGATGGCAGAGATGGAGCGCTCCAAAGTGGACAATAAGGCGAAGTTGGAGACGAGGCTGCTGGAGGAGGCGGCCATACGCCAGGACAACAATGACCGCAAGAACGAGAGGCTGGCCGACGCTGCAGAGAAGGCTGCCAGGGTAACCACTCATTCATCATCTTTTATCTCGATTTTCCAAGAAAATAATTGAGTTACTTGGACAAAAACATGTCATTCAAAATGTTTAGATAAAGGTCTCAACATGAACATGACATCACTGATTGCAAACTTGACACCAATAGATTTAAAGGTCTCATGTCATGGCCATTTCTACAGATCATAATTCCATTGTTGAGGTCTACTAGAATAGATTTACATTGTTCAATTTTCCAAACTCACATTGGTTNGGGGCAGGAAGGTGGTCGGGAAGGGAGTTCCTGACCAGCTCCGTGTCCACCCCAGCGTTGTCTCACTTCTTGTTTTCACAAGTCGTCTCAATTACTGTACAATTAATACAGGTCAAAGACCAAATAAACTGTAGGTAACTGTCTTGCCTATTTAAAGCCGTCTCCCTTTTTAACGTATTTTATATGCTTTTAGAAAATCATTTTTCCCCTAAAAGAAAAATGAAACAATATGTTATTTATTTAAAACAAATGTAAATAATAAATGAATAAATGCAGGCTATAATGTAATTTGATTTTCCCTTTTTGAGGGCAAGTATTTGTTTTATATTTAGTGAGCTGTATTACATATATCATATTCCTTTGCTCAGGTAATAACGACAATACCTTAGTACTATTTCACTTTTTAAACCAATTTTCTTTTTGTATTACTATTTACTATTTACTTGCACTATATTTTCTGTTTATCTGTGTTTAGTGTTGCACTGCTGGAGAAGCCTGTCACACAAGATTTTCATCGGCATAACTACACTGTAGCTATGTTCGTACTGTATGACTAAATAAAGAACCTTGAACCTTGAACCTTGAACCTTGAACCTTGAACCTTGAACCTTGTTTGGGGTTTGTTCACATGTTGTACAGCTGATTTAGAAATTAGAGAACAGAAGAAAAAAAAGAAAGGAACTGATCCCTCACACTCAAACACACTTACTGTGTGAATTGGCTAACGTGAAACACATAAAGCGACATTACTTAAAACCTTGTGTCCAGTGACTGTCCCATGTGTTGTCTGTGGTCAGAGGGAGGGTCAGGAGGGAGGGTCAGGGACAGCTGGAGCTTCACCTGTCACTGGATCACATTCGTTTATATGACACAGCAGTGGTGACACCCAACTCCAGCATTTAAACACTGCGTTGGCGGAACACAATAACAAACCCCTTACCAATAAAAGAACCCTTAAGTGAATGTCAGTTAAGGAACCTCATATAAACAACAGCTACAAGTGAAGCATATTTTTGTATTAAATTCAACAACAAAAATTGTCAGCTCTAATGGCTCAATGCGTTTTTAGGGCATTCTCATCTTTATAAAGGTGCCTGGTAGAAGCTCCAAGAATTGCTTGACCATTGTAAGTGTACAAAATGATCTATTGTGTGCAAAAGGAAAAGTCTCACAAATTAAGCATACAGTACAGTAGAGTATGTCCAACACAGTGAAAAAGTGTGTTAGCAAAGAGGAGAAGTGATGACAAGACAATCAACAACAATGACTGTTAAGCTCATGAAAGTAGTTTTGCACAACTGACAGCCTTAGAAATACCCTGTGACCACTTACTGAAAACTAAATTGTTCATTTTTCTCTTATTATGTCCACTCTCTGCTGCTTTTTCTGTTCTCATATGTAATCAAACCATCTATTTCACCCACAGCCAGACTTGGAAACACATACAAGGAAAAGTACTCTTTCAACACACAAGCAGACGTCTATACACATGCACTTTCACAATCTCCCTTATCGCCCACATCCACACAGTCAGCGGCGATAACTGTTTAATTAATGTGTGATTGCAACACGCCGGCCTAATAATGTTTTTCCTGTCTTTCCCCTGGGCTACTCCTTTCAGAAAAACACTGCGGGAGGAATTTCTGATCCATTTTAAGCTCCAACGAGAATGTGGATAAGTCTGTAGATTACTGCCCAACATGTTTATGATAGCCTATTATTCCCTAAGCTTTATCCGGGCCCCGCGCGTGCTTCGTCTACTTAGCACAACTATTTAGGTCATGGTACAATCTCAGAGGAAAGCACCGTGGATATGGAAATATAAGGAAACCTAAGCAATAAGTGTCAAAATTAAGCAAATTATGCTGTTTTACGGTAGTTTTGACCAAGTTATGGCAAAGTAATGGACAAGTCTTTCAATCAACCAGTGTACTTGGACATGACCTCACATTATCTTAAAGGGGTCCTATAATGCTTTTTGGGACATCTTTTAAGCCCCTGTCACACTGTCCCGAATTTGACACCCGATGGACACACGATTAAGGAAATGTTCAAATTCGGCTCTGATCGTAACAACATCGGGCCATTCGTGGGGCATCTTACAGCCATCGTATGACCCGCCGGTGGAGTTTTCTCAGGCTCGGCAGTCAACTTCGGGAGCGGTGGCAAATCTTGCATCCAAAGCATTGCTAAGAAGGCCTTGTGAAGGTTATTTCTCGTGTTGACTTCGTGTGTCCATTTTGCCCTTCGAAGGCATTCGTGAGGGCCATCTTAAGCATCGTTGCCGCCGTGGGGAATTTATCAGGCGTCCGGCAGCAACTCGGGGCGTGATATGCCAAGTATGGTTAAGATGTCTGCACGAAGGCCCGTGTTGCTACGATCAGAGCCGAAGTTTGAACATCTTCCCTTTATCGTCGTGTCCTTCTGGTTGTTTTATTGGCAGCACAAAAGTCATTAAGACATATTATGGTAAGATAACCCAATGTTTGTGTCTGTGGAAACTAAAAGGATAGTAAGTACTGATTATTTTGGAAGGCGAGGAGAGTTGTTTGTGTGCTATGGAAACAACATGACGGAGAATAACTTATATCCTTCTACATATAAACGAGCGGGAGAAAGTAAAGAACAAAGTCGGGAGAAATATCAGGTACAGAGTCGAATAATAAACTTTAACAGTAATTGGGTTTGTGGTCAGGCTTCGTTGCAGTTGTATGGTGCTTATAATGTAAGGTCACATGTTGCCTTCGGTGTGGTTCGGGGCCATCGTTGCGTGCGAATTCACAATCCATATTCGTGTGTCCATGGGTATCAATTTTGGGCAGTGTGACAGGGGCTTAACAGTTGACACAATCACAACAGAGCCGCAGCTAACCAATCAGAGCAGACTGGGCTCTGGTTTCAGACAGAGGGTGAAAAAAGTGCTGCAGCACAAGGCAGTGTGGAACAATAAAAGACTTTGGAACATTTAAA